TGTTATAATATGGTGCTTGTTATACTGCACTTGATGTCAAGTTCTTTCATTGCCAACTATTATAACACCAGTTATAATATGGTGCTTGTTATACTGCACTTGATGTCAAGTTCTTCATTGCCAACTATTATAACACCAGTTATAATATGCAATTTAAGATTATACTGCACTTGATGTTTAAGTTCTTGTCATTGCCAACTATTATAACTCCTGTTATAATATGGTGCTTGTTATACTGCACTTGATATTAAGTTCCTCATTGCCAACTATTATAACACCTGTTATAATATGGTGCTTATTATACTGCACTTGATGTCAAGTTCTCATTGCCAACTATTATAACTCCTGTTATAATATGGTGCTTGTTATACTACTTGTCAAGTTCTTCATTGCCAACTTCATTCTATCTCATAACTATGTTATAACTGTTATTGTTATACTGCACTTGATGTCAAGTTCTTCATTGCCAACTATTATAACACCAGTTATAATATGGTCATTTGTTATACTGCACTCTGATGTCAAGTTCCTCATTTTAACTATTATAACACCAGTTATAATATGGTGCTTGTTATACTGCACTTGATGTTAAGTTCCTCATTGCCAACTATTATAACTCCTGTTATAATATGGTGCTTGTTATACTGCACTTGAGTTCAAGTTCCTCATTGCCAACTATTATAACTCCAGTTATAATATGGTGTTGTTATACTGCTTGATTCAAGTTCCTCATTGCCAACTATTATAACTCTGGTTATAATATGGTGCTTCTTATACTGCACTTGATATCAAGTTCCTCATTGCCAACTATTATAACTCTAGTTATAATGTTGTGCTTAATAGTTCCTCATTGCCAACTATTATAACTCTGTGTTATAATATGGTGCAATTATACTGCACTTGATATCAAGTTCCTCATTGCCAACTATTATAACACCAGTTATATACTTATTATACTGCTTGATTTCAAGTTCCTCATTGCCAACTATTATAACTCCTGTTATAATATGGTGCTTGTTATACTGCACTTGATGTCAAGTTCCTCATTGCCAACTATTATAACTCCTGTTATAATATGGTTATTATACTGCACTTGATGTTAAGTTCCTCATTGCCAACTATTATAACTCTGGTTATAATATGTTGCAATTATACTGCACTTGATGTCAAGTTCTTGTTGCCAACTATTATAACACCAGTTATAATATGGTGCTTGTTATACTGCACTTGATGTCAAGTTCCTCATTGCCAACTATTATAATTTATAATATGGTGCTTGTTATACTGCACTTGATGTCAAGTTCCTCATTGCCAACTATTATAACACCAGTTATAATATGGTGCTTGTTATACTGCACTTGATGTTAAGTTCCTCATTGCCAACTATTATAACTCCAGTTATAATATGGCAAAATTATACTCACACTTGATGTTCAAGTTATCATTGCCAACTATTATAACACCAGTTATAATATGGTGCTTGATTTGCACTTGATGTTAAGTTCCTCATTGCCAACTATTATAACACTGGTTATAATATGGTAATTTATATCACACTTGATGTCAAGTATCCTCATTGCCAACTATTATAACTCCAGTTATAATATGGTGCTTGATTTGCACTTGATGTTAAGTTCCTCATTGCCAACTATTATAACTCTGGTTATAATATGTTGCAAGTATCTCTGATGTTAAGTTCCTCATTGCCAACTATTTAACACCAGTTATATTACTGGTGTTATAATGTTGCACTTGATTTTAAGTTCCTCATTGCCAACTATTATAACTCCAGTTATAATATGGCAATTCTATACTGCACTTGATGTTAAGTTCCTTGTGCCAACTATTATAACTTCAGTTATATATGGTGCTTGTTATACTGCTTGATTTTAAGTTCCTCATTGCCAACTATTATAACACCAGTTATAATGTTGCAATTGTTATCTGCACTTGATGTTCAAGTTCTTGTCACCAACTATTATAACTTCAGTTATAATGTTATTATACTGCTTGATTTAAGTTCCTCATTGCCAACTATTATAACTCTGGTTATAATATGTTGCAATTATATCTGCACTTGATGTTAAGTTCCTCAGTTAACTCCTGTTATAATCTTGCTTGTTATACTGCACTTGATGTTAAGTTCCTCATTGCCAACTATTATAACTCTGGTTATAATATGGTGCTTATTATACTGCACTTGAGTTAAGTTCCTCATGTCACCAACTATTATTACTTCAGTTGATATACTGCTTGATTCAAGTTCCTCATTGCCAACTATTATAACTCTGGTTATAATATTGCAATTGTTATACTGCACTTGAGTTCAAGTATCATTGCCCAACTATTATAACTCCTGTTATAATATGGTGCTTGATTTAGAGATATCAAGTTCCTCAACTATTATAACACCAGTTATAATGTTGCTTGTTATACTGCACTTGAGTTCAAGTATTCTTGTCACCAACTATTATTACTTCAGTTATAATAATGTTGTTATACTGCACTTGATTTAGAGTTCCTCATTGCCAACTATTATAACTCTGGTTATAAATGTTGCAATTCTATCTCACACTTGAGTTCAAGTTCCTCACCAACTATTATAACACCAGTTATAATAACTATTATAACTACTTCAGTTATTCACCAACTATTATAACACCAGTTATAATGTGGTGCTTGATTTAGAGATACTGCAACATGATGTCAAGTTCCTCATTGCCAATTATATCTCAACTTGATTATAACTTCAGTTATACTGGTTGATTTAATCCTCATTGCCAACTATTATTCTGGTTATAATATGGCAATTCTATCTCACACTTGAGTTCAAGTTATTCTTGTCACCAACTATTATTATGGTGTTATAATGTTGCACTTGATTTAGAGATCCTCATTGCCAACTATTATAACTCTGGTTATAATGTTGCAATTGTTATCTGCACTTGAGTTCAAGTTCTCATTGCCAGTTATTATAACTTGTTATAATATGGTGCTTGTTATAATGTTGTGCTTGATTTCAAGTTCCTCATTGCCAACTATTATAACACCAGTTATAATGTTGCAATTATATCTCACACTTGAGTTCAAGTTCCTTTGTCACCAACTATTATTACTTCAGTTTATAATGTTTGCTTATATTTAGAGATCCTCATTGCCAACTATTATAACTCTGGTTATAATGTTGCAATTCTATCTCACACTTGAGTTCAAGTATCCTTGTCACCAACTATTATTACTTCAGTTATAATGTTGTGCTTGATTTAGAGATCCTCATTGCCAACTATTATAACTATGGTTATAATGTTGCAATTCTATCTCACACTTGAGTTCAAGTATCCTTGTCACCAACTATTATTACTTCAGTTATAATGTTGTGCTTGATTTAGAGATCCTCATTGCCAACTATTATAACTCTGGTTATAATGTTGCAATTCTATCTCACACTTGAGTTCAAGTATTCTTGTCACCAACTATTATTACTTCAGTTATAATGTTGATTTGATCCTCTTGCCAACTATTATAATTTAAGATCTCACCTTGAGTTCATTGCCAACTAGTTATAACTCTGGTTATAATGTTGCAATTCTATCTCACACTTGAGTTCAAGTATCCTTGTCACCAACTATTATTACTTCAGTTATAATGTTGTGCTTGATTTAGAGATCCTCATTGCCAACTATTATAACTCTGGTTATAATGTTGCAATTCTATCTCACACTTGAGTTCAAGTATCCTTGTCACCAACTATTATTACTCAGTTATAATGTTGTGCTTGATTTAGAGATCTCATTCAAGTTATAAATATGGTTATGTTGCAATTCTATCTTGATTGAGTTCAGAAATCCTCATTGCCAACTATTATAACTATGGTTTTAGAGATCCTCATTGCCAAATTCTATCTCACTTGAGTTCAAGTATTCTTGTCACCAACTATTATTACTTCAGTTATAATGTTGTGCTTGATTTAGAGATCCTCATTGCCAACTATTATAACTCTGGTTATAATGTTGCAATTCTATCTCACACTTGAGTTCAAGTATCCTTGTCACCAACTATTATTACTTCAGTTATAATGTTGTGATCCTCATTGATTTAATGTTGCAATCTATCTCACACTTGAGTTGCCAACTATTATTACAGTTATATGCTTGATTTAGAGATCCTCATTGTTACTAATGTTGCTGGTTATAATTCTATCTATCTCTTGAGTTCAAGTATCCTTGTCACCAACTATTATTACTTCAGTTATAATGTTGTGCTTGATTTAGAGATCCTCATTGCCAACTATTATAACTATGGTTATAATGTTCAATTCTATCTCACATTGAGTTCAAGTATTCAACTACCATATTACCAAGTTATAATGTTGTGCTTTTTTATCCTGTGCTTGTGTTCAAGTATCCTCATTGTTAACTATTATAATTTTCTATTGTAAGGTTATTGTTACTTAGTAATTAGTATAACATAATTTGTTAAGTATTCTCTATACATAATGCTTAGGCTATTGCCAATGTGCCTGTATAGTTAGTATAAAGACTGCCTCCAGTATGACTACTATGACCTCATACCATGGATGAGTTCATAGAGTCACCAGCAGTGTACTCTTTACTCCACAACAGTTAATATTAGTGACTTTATAACCCTATGAGCAACCTTCACTTTTTCTACCAATGTCAATACCAGTAGGCTATTACAAATTCCTCTGAGATAGAGAACCAAATATACACTTTATACCCTCTAGGCATGCCTTTGTTCACATGCTAAATGTACTATATAAATTTTAGTATCTGATAACTTGCTATGCATGCTTTTACTTTTTGCTGTATTACAACATATGTAAGAACTAATGAATGTTTGGTCATATTTAATAAATCCTACTTCTATTAACAGATAGTAATTGAACATTTAGTTTAGCTGTGTCCTTGTGCTATGTGCAACAAGTCAATTACTGACTTGGTGTTATTTCACTTTTATAAGCTTATATAATTTATACTTACTCATCAGGAAATACAACTGGGTCCCTGAGAATTTTTTTATGTAACAGTAGAATATATTCATCATGGAACGGGCACTGAAAAAAAAAACAAAACAAAATGAATGGAATATTTAAAATGAAAATAAATTTAACATCATGTTTTTATAGATATGGACAAAATTTATGACTGAACATTATTAATTATTAAAAGTTCCTTGATAAAGATAAGATTAAAAATATAACAGAAATCCTGAACTTCAAATGCTATTATTCTGCTTTCATTCTAATAATGTATGTAAAAATGGAATACAATTCAGTAAGAAAAGTGATAATTACTGAAAAGGCAAATATGGAATCTGGGATGATGATAAATCAATAATATTGATAGAGGTATTAGTTTAAATAAATAAATAACAAATGAAAGAGAGGAGGTATTTTATTTACATTCCTTAGTCACTAAAGCTGACATGTACTTGTAAAATCCATAATATACAATAATATAAAAAAGTTCATTCTGAGGTTAAGTCTGGGTATTAAAGCTTTAGGCAAATCATTCTCATGTAATGATCTCTGCAGGCAGTGTGTATTATTGATTACTGTCAAGGTTGATTATTGATGTAACAATCGTTCAGCTACTACATGGTTAATTATGGGAATGGTTTGTCCAAGTGCTCATTCACCCAAATTCTTCTCTATCATTCATTGTAGCATGCTAATGATGATTTTTAGGAGGCATGGTGGAGTAATGGATAGTGGCTTGGATTGAGAAATTGGAGAGCCAAGTTCGAATTCCATTCGAATCCATTACATTCACTTATGTGCTAATACCCTTGGGAAAGGTATGAATCCTCTTCTCCCCCCAGCTATGGGTAAATAGCAAGAGAGACCAGGTTCTGTAGCCTTGGATGGCAACTGGTCTACCACAGAAAGAAATGGGACCCTACTGCAGGGAAAAAATCTGCCTCGTCAGTCATGTATCGAAAGATACATGATCGCCTACATGTGTATCACGCATGGCACATAACTGACTGAATGAGGAGACATTTTGTCAAGATATTTAATTATGGGTGTCATGTCATTCCAATTGGTCTTAGTCAGTTATGTGTCATGTGTAATACACACGTAGGCGATAGTGTATCTTTTGATACATGACTGACGAGGCAGATTTTTTCCTGCAGTAGGTGGTATTAGTACAAAATGAATACAAGCCAAAATTTAAACTAGGCTTGCTAATTTTCAGTTTTCAGATTAATAACCATTATACCACATTCCCAACCAGCCAAAGGTATTTATATAATTTTATATATTTTTAAAATATACAATATTTAGAGAATAAATATTTAGGATTAAAAATCATATTTTTCCAATCTATATGACACTAAGATAATTTTATTTGTGTCTCTGCAAATATGAATGCTTATCTAGCAATCACTCACCCAACTCCTGGTAGGTACTGCAACCTGTCAGCTTGCTAGGCCTATCATGTAGCTTACAGCACCTGGTATTTCCCAGCAGTCACCAATCTGAGTACTGACCAGGCTCAATGTTGTTTAACTTTGATGTTTCAACATCATATGGCTGCAAGTGCTTATCAAGCACTAATACTTATAATGTGTTACATGCATTTACTAAGCTTAGTTTAGTCTAGCACAAGGCCACAAATAGCGAGTATTCTGTTAGGATTGCAATCACTAAAGTAACTGTAAAGTAAGTGGCCATGTTTAAATGTAAGTGTGAGAACTGCCTGACAAATAGAATTGACAAAGTTTGAAATAAACAATAACAAGAAAAAGACATGAAAAAAAAAAAAACAGAGCAAAAATAGTATAAAGCAAGCAAACAATATATGCAAGACAAATTAATAGTAATAAGGCAAAGCAACAGTAATATGGCAAAAAGTTCACAAACTAAGAATTGATGTTGATGCAAAAATGGACTCAGATTAATGAATGTAATGTTCTGACTTCAAGACAAGACAGTCTGGGACTGAGTCATATAAGACCAAGAAGTAGGCTATCTTATTGTCAAAGAAGAAGTCCTAGCATGCATTTGTATAGTTTTGTCTATAAATTGGCGAGGGGGAAAGTGTTTTGCAATCATTCCCTATCAAGATTGGAACCAATAGTAACAATGGTCTATGTTACTAGCTTGATAACCTCTACTTCATGAAAAGGTACCTGAGAACAAGGTGTTAAATGGTACTTAAAAACAATTCTTTTCACTCACCTGTCCATATATAAAACAGTAGAGGGTAATGCCCATAGCCCAAATATCTAAAGCCTGAAGGAAAGAAAAATATAAACATTAACAAGATGCTAAAGAACAATTATAATACAGCATTATATATTTTTTGCATTTATTTATCTTTATATGTAATACATGTACACTGTGAGTGGCTTGAGTCATTACCAATAGTTTCTATAATGAAATTCTTCCCTGGTGATTAAGGGAGCTATATTTAATGATGAAATTCTTCATTAATTATTGATTCATCCACAGTTAACATTCATATTTAATGATGAAAGCTTCCAGTAACAAATAATGGATCTACACACAGCCACACAAACACTATTTGTCATATTTATTGAGGAGTGCTCAATATAGGGGCTAGAAAATTTGTACATATAAACACTGTGGGCAGAAAATTGCATGATGACTGGATCATATGAATGGACAAAATGCTTGGTGGCAACTGTTCTCACAGATTGAGAGGTCAAGAAGGCAGAGATGGTGTGGTGTTTTTGGGGTGGGATTATAGATAATTAAGTGGTATTAATATTATGGCTCAGATGTACATTGATCTCTTTGAAGGCACATATGGAACCATGGTTCAAAAAAAAAGCCAAACACTTTCAGAAAGTAAATGATTTTTATGCATGAAAAGTCAGTAAATTCAGTGAAGAAAACTAATGAATAAAATGGTATTGAATAAAATGGATTTCAAAAGATATTTGTTTGAAAAAGTGGCTAGTTTCAAATTTTCCCTGTGTAAGGTTTGATCTATACAATATTCACTACTGAATTATGTTCCCTGTTATAAAATAAAATAAGATATATCTCGGCTGAATTGCAGGCAAATAAACATACTCAAGAGCAAGAGCCGGATATGAATGGGACAAGACCCCATCACAAAATGACCATTATCGTTGTTTATGCATAAGCCTGACGCATGAGTTCCGGTCGAAAAATAAAATAATATTTTAAATTGTTTCTATTTTTCAACCAATAAAAATGCTTCCCTCCTAATTATACTCACGTCGTTTTACGAGCCTGTTAAGCCATAAAAAACACCATAAAAGGGGTCACACAGGGAAGTACAAAAGCAGTCAACAGGAGGCCAAGGAGGAGACCTGTCATGGTCAGGCTGAGAGGTTGGCAGCAGTCAGCAGCTGTCGGCAGGAGGAGCGCCACGCCAACCAGTGTGAACTACTATGAGAGATCAACCCAGACCGAGATCCGGCTTATGAACTATACCACAAGGTAGCTGTACCAAACCCACATGTTCCTATTGAAATAAATCACGTAAATCTATTTCTGCTGTTGTCGTATTTCCTTCTTGCAACCTAGCTTGTCTATAACACTACTGAATTATGTTCCCTGACAAGAAAAGGAATTGTGCTGAAAAATAAATATTTTTTGTGAAAACTAAATACTTTTTATCATTAAGCTGCAGATTTAGTGATATACATTCTCCCTCTTGTGGCAAACAGTGCCAAGACTTTAGGAATATTAAAAAAAGGAGATCAAAATACATTTTGAATATACTGGCAGATTGTAACTGTATTTGTATATAATTTGCCTCTTCCACCATCTTAAATGCTTTTCTAATTCAATGTTTTGATTATTCCTCTTCTCTGTATGTTGCTGGTGCTCTTTGTTATATTTTTGACTCCCCATTTTTGTTTTTCTATTCTGTCTTAATGGCTTCTGGGTTAATAATAATAATAAATAAAGAAATAATTCATATCTATAGAAACTTAATATCTATAGATCTATAAATATTTAAGGGAAACTGTGATGAAATAGATACTATTAATGAAAATAAATAGAGAGCAAACTGTACAGAGACTTTGGAATTAATTTATAAATTTATGAATTTAATTCATACTGTAAATGTAAACTAGAGAGTTCCTTACAAATTGGTGTCGCAATTTAAATAGTGTTCTCAATTTTAACTTCCTATAAGGGGAAGTCACTCATAATCAAAAGATGAAATATAATTTTCAACAGAAACAGCTATAAAGAAACTGCACTGATACATTTCCTTGAAAATTGTAGTTTAACATCAAGTTTTGCAGTTTTGATAGTGTATGTGTTCATAGTTATATATATATATATATATATATATATACACACACATACTGTGCACAGAAAATCCACAGTTGAAAAATTGCCAGTGGGGAAAATTCCCATTGAGAAAATTGCCAGGGTTTTGAATCTATTTTTCTGGCAGTGCTTTAGAACAAATTCAGAAAAACAGAATAAGTTTTATTAACTGAATGTCTTAAAATTAAACAAAATATTTATTAATTCAACATTCTGTATATAAAAAAAAAAAATCAGAAAACAGGATGAAAATAAAAAAAAATTAAAAATATATACAAAAATTAAAAATTTATACAAAAATTAAAAAAATTTTCTTCCAAAAAAAAAAAAAAAAAAAAATTTAAAATAATAAAATATAAGAAAAATATTTAAAATGAGTGGAAATTATAAGCAACAGATCAAAGAAATGTGCTTTTATCCTGTGGATTATATAAGCTCAACAGTTCTCTTCAGTTAATCATTGATATTTTTATACTTTTATGGATTACGAATCTCATATTGCTTGAATTGTAGTATTTTTGTTTGCACTAAAATTTCCTCCTCCTTCAAAAATGCAATACATTTCCAGATATTTGAATGACATATTTTTAGGAATATCTTCATCTTTGAATAGCTCTTCAAAGCCTATAACAACACCAGAACTGAAAAACATTGTACATTTAAACTAAAGCTGTTTTCATTGTGGCATCAATTTTTGAAACCAAGGTTCACAATCTTTATATAGAGTGCTTGGCAGAGAGAAATGGAAAAAATGACCAGTACGGTCAGTATAGGGAGAAACATTCATTAGTCTGTTTATTAAAACCTTTTCAAAATCACTCATTAAAAAATTTAGAAGGAATTTAAAAGATAAAGAAAATAAAAAAAAAATAATTTTCTTTATTTTCTAAAGGTGATAAATGCACATTTTTAGTTTATTTGAAGAGTTTATTATTTTTAGGATTCACAGGAACAAAACAAAGGAGCTAATACCTACTCTTTAAAAAAAAGTGTCAAATTATCTGTAGGCGAGTTGGTGCTCACTGTTCTTTCAATTTACTACTTGAAGTAAGCAAATATAAATGAAGAAATTGTAGTTTTGGTTCAAAAAAGCAATTATAAAAAGAGAAATGGATAGTTTTATCTTACTAATATTCTTGTCATTCAAGTTTGACTTCAAATAATAAAATAAGCTCTTATAAAAAGAAAAATGATAATTTTGGTCAAAATTAGCAGTCCTAAAAAGAGAAATTAATGTTTTTTTTTTACTTAAATTATCTTCATTTAAATTAGATTCTCTGGGTTCAATCTTTTAATTTGTCAATGGCAATATTCTGCACTGGGAATTTTCTCAATGGGAATTTTCCCTATTGACTATTTTCCACCTGGGAATTTTCCTAGACACACACACATATATATATATGTGTGTGTGTGTGTGTGTGTGTGTGTGTGTGTGTGTGTGTGTGTGTGAAGATAATTATAACCACCTACCTTTCCACTGTATTCCTCTCTTTCCTCTGCAAAACATAAGTAATAGATAATAAGAATTTTAATAAAAATATTTTGATAAAAACTTCCATTTTAAAAAGTATTTAGAGGTTTAAAAGCATTCAAGTAAATTTGTGGTATAATTCATCTTCATCAGAAAGACCATTGAAATATTAAGGGTGTTTTTTAATTTCTAAATACAGGTTTTCCCTTGCTATCCAAAAACTAAAGCAAACATATGAAATATTTCTTAAGCCAAGATGGCATAAAATGAAGCAGCTATTAATTACTATTAATTTATATAGGAAAAAATTTGAGTGATTGTGATGAACTTTTCACTATAAATGACAATGCTGCAATGGTTGCAGGAAAGTATGACTTCAATTTTGGAAGTACATGTAAGTATAGTGCGGGTTTGCAAGATATTTTGAATGACTACAAAGAACTGTATGATAGAAAAGCGCATGAGGCTAAGTATCTAAATGTAGTGTGTCAAACCATAGAAGATGATAAACTTTGACCTTTGATACATAGGTAGACACGTAAGAAGTTTAAGTTTCTGATCTGGAAATACTATAAAGTTTTTCTTATATAAATTAATGCTTATTACTATTTCTCAGTCTACCATTTTGAATACTATGGGTTGTAGTCACCTTTACTAATGTCAGTCTTTGATAAAAGTGACATAAAGGGAACATTTGAAAAACTGCAGGGAGATACTTGTACATAAATTCACAAGTTGTCCACATACCTGATACCTGATAGTCTCTGTAGGTACTATATATATATATATATATATATATATATATATATATATATAATTATTTATTTAAAAATATGATTCCTTTGCTACGTAAGAGTTCTCATGTTTCAAAACAAGAGCTGAAAACTTCAATATAATTATTTGAATTAAATTGAATTAAAGTACCAAACTCTGTTCCACCTTCAAGCAAAATTTTTGGATACCAAAATACCACTTCAAAGATGCATCTACCAATCCATAAACACATTTATTCAAAAGCCAGAGGTTTTCACACTAGCCTCCTTTGATGGTCAAAGGTATACTTCTTTTTGGATTGGCTCCCCTTCCAAAAATGCAGCTTTAATATCTATAGCATGTTCACCTTCTTTGTGCTATAATAGTCTTATAGATTGCTTTTTACAAGGAGAATTCTTTTGTATTTCATTTAAATATTCTTTTTCAAATCCTTTGGCCACAAGCCTGGATTTTCTTTGAATGAAAATGTTTCTCTTCTCAATCTCTGTTTTACCTCCATCCGTGACTCTTGTCATGCCACGCAACTCTGCTCTCGTGGCAACTCTGATCACATGGTAGTATCTGTAGAAATCTCCTTCCACTCCCCCACCAGCCAAGAACTCCTAACAACAGAATATCTTTCTGTTATCCACAAGTGTACTGGGAGTCATCCCTTGGAATGTAGCTTTTAATCATCCCATTCAAATATTGCACATCTGAGGTTTCCTCCTAGTAAAAGCCACCATTGATGCTTTCATTCCAGCAATACCTAGTTAAACCACATTCATCTCCTTGGTTCTAACTTGTTCAGCACTATAGCCAACATGAATCACTTCTTCCACCTGTACCTGATTGTAACAGACGTCCCTTTGTCTTTGCTTGTAGTGAGTGCAAGCGTGTGTTCATTGAAGAAAAGTTACTGTTTACTGATAGAATGAAACATTGTATAGCATCTCGCAAGTTTGGTTCTAGAGATTACTGGTCCTCCTCTATTCAATCAATTTGAAACCCTAACATCTGTAACAGATAAGGCTTAATGCTTTGCTCAGAAATTCTCATCCACCTCAACTCTTGACTCATCCAGTGTGCCCACACCTGACTTAACTCTAGAACTGAGGCTCTACTGAGTGATATGTGCATAACTCCATTGTTGGTCTTGGACATCATTTCTAAATTAGACTCCCATAAGGCAAGTAGAGATGATGGGATATCAGCCATCATCCTAAAGAAATGTGCTCTTGAGCTGGTTCTTGTTCTCTCCAAACTATACAACTATGGTCTCGCTGCTTCCTGCTTTCCAGCCTGTTGGAAGTCCTCATCTGTTGTCCCTGATTTTAGAACTCTGGAGAACCTTCTGAGCCCTCTAACTACTGCCTTATCAGTCTCCTACTGTTTTTCAGAAAAGTCTTCAAGGCTTTAATCAATGCTGAAGTAGTTAAGTATATTACAACTCATGATTTACACTCTGACAAGCAATATGGATTTCATTTTTCCCTGCCTACCACTGATGTGCTTACAGCCATAACTGAATATGTATATCAAGCTCTTGATAATAATGGCAAAGCTCAAGCTCTGGCTCTAGATATCTCAAAGGTGTTTAACAAGGTTTACGTAAACTTCAGGGATACAGTATTAAAGGACAATTATTTGATTTAATCGAATCATTCCTATCAAATTGTGAAATGAAGGTAATCCTGAAGGGGTCCTCTTCTAATTCCTTCCATACAAATGCAGGAGTTCCCAAGGCTCTATCATTGGTCCTACACTGTTTCTGATCTTCATCAATGATCTTCCTGATATCATTAGTTCTCAAGTTGACATCTATGCAAATGACACTAGCATTTACTCCTGTCTCAATAGTAAATCCGGCAGAGCTGGCAAAGTTAACCTGGATTCTGCTCTTGAAAAGGATCTCTAATCAATGGTTAACTGGGACAGTAAATGACTGGTAAACTTTGATGCCTCCAAAACTAAACTGCTCTCATTTAACTGCCACAGAGAAACTTTCCTGCCTCCCCTCAGTATGGTTGATGTTCAACTCCATGAAAGTGTCTAACTGCAACTTCTTGGCCTCACGTTTTGCAATGACTTGAGGTGGAACGACTACATTAAATCAATAGCTGCATCTTCTGCAAGGAAAGTCAGCTCACTGTGTCATGCCAGAAGGTTTTTCTTGTCAGAGTTCATCTACAAATGTATCACTTGTCCATGCATTGAATATTGTTGCCTTATATGGTCTGGTGCCTCTACTGTTCATCTCAAGGTTCTCAACAAAACCCAAAGAAGGATCTGCAGTGTAATCAGTTCTGATTTGACATCTTGACTTCAGTTCTTTTCTCAGGGATGTGATGTGGCTTCCCTCTGCCTTTTCTACAAATATTTTCATGGTAACTGTTCTGATGAGCTATCTTCTCTGATGCCCTGATTATATGAATTTAAGTGTGCTACTAGAGTGGCATCTAGGTCCCACCCTTTTACTGTTGAAATAGTTAAATACAATCAGCATTTCTACTCCAACAGTTTCTTTTTTTGCATTTCCCAACTGTGGAACTCTCTTCCTCTTACTTACTTCCCTGATAACTACCATCTTCAAAAATCTAAATGCAATATCGACCACCATCTTCTGTTGCCTTGATCTCTGTTCCTCTTTTATCCTTTCCTCAATCCCCCTCTATAAACAGTCTTTTCCCCTCACTTTCACTCTCTGTAACCTCCTGCATGCTAGTGGCATTCCTGCCTTGCTTGGGATGAAATGCTAAAAACAAAAAAATAAACATGGTGTTTGTGGACAACTTATATTATCCTATTTGAAAAGTTTTTTTGTACTACCAATTCCTAACTATGCTCTGCTACCAATGTTAATCTAATCTAACTTCACCAGGTAAATAGATTGATAGATATCCACCAGAGTCTCTATGTCACAACTGGATGTGACATAGGGTTGAGTTTTAAAGTGAGTTTAATGGCTATACATCACAAATATCTTCAAGTCCCCTTGTCACTTCCCCTTTTGGGCATAGCTCAGGTGCCGGGCAATAAACCCAGCCCCTTCCTAAGGGAGAGATAATGCATTTCAATTGCAGGTGGAACAGATCAGCTTATTAAAGCACAAATTTACATTAGCTGAAGGCTATCAGTTCAGTATTTGTGTTAGGTAGTAAATATACATTTGAGCTATTTAACGACCTTACATGAATGGTCTGACAAAACATCAAAGAAATACTACTGATATAGTGTAACATCAAACAGTTGAGACCAGAGAGAATAGGTTTCCTGATAATGAAGTATTTGAAATCCTATACTCAACAATGAATTTCAAACTGTGGCAAGCTAAAATATCCAATGTGGATGAAAAAATTGATAGCTATGAATATTTTTAAGTTATACATGGAGACACAACCAGGTGAGAAATTTTGAGAAATAGTGAATAAAATTATCTCAATGGTAAAAAATGAATTTTGTGAAGGAGGAAACATTCTGGAAGGTAAAAAGTACATTCATGTTTAATAGTCATAAGGATTAGAGAGTTGTAGTAAATGCAAATCATTTTACCTTTCCTATAGAGATCACATCTTAACTTTGTTGTATAGTAGATTAATGAAAAATACATTATCGAGTTTCTTTTGAGAGAAATGTTGACTGGAATTTATGATAGTAAACTTGAAAAATTTGAAATGAATACAGGAAAGATAGCTGGATAATAAATGTATTTCCTATTAAAGTGGGTTTTTGTGTTTTATTGCCAACTAAACTTCAGCATATCTGGTTAAACATGTCTGTGTTGGAAAAAAAAAGTATATTAAGACGACCAGAGAGATGTTATCCACATTGTGATGGAAAACTATCACAAGTTTGGTGATATCATGAGGTATTACTGTAGCATACTGGATTAGTATCAATGATGTCTAAGCTCAAACCTTTATATAATTTCAATGTCATCATCTGACGAAAGTCTTTGTTAAAGGCACTAATGCTATTTTTTCTAATAATGGTATTTTGATTTTGTACTGGTTAAAAGAAACATTTTTTTTTTAAAAATGTGATAATGTTTTAGATATCCTGTAAGTTACTCACATAAAGTTAACATAATAATAATAAAGTTGTAGGGATGAAAAAAGCATTTATCTCCCTTTGGTTGAGATGAAGTTATGAGGGACACATGATAGCAAGAGACATTAGTTCATAGAGTGACGAAAGCCAGTATTTTAGTCAGCACTCCTAGAGTCAAGACATGCCTACCCATGCCAGTTGCTATGTAGGCAGCAAGCCCACAGTGGTAGGGTGAACAGAGGAACCAACATGACCTCACCAGAAACATAAAAGATACCACTGACTTGTTTTTTGTCCACTAGGAAATATTACAAGTAAGACCACCTGCTTTTCACTCTTTTCACACTGTTTCTTGTATATATATAAGTTATAGTTTCTTTGTGTGTGACAAATTAGTATCAATTATGCATATATTGATATAAAAAAATCTCTTTGATAACAATATTTGCCATTACTTTCTTTTGGCTATTCTGTTCTTTTTGTATATGGTGTTAGTGTATCATGGATATAATAATGCCAATAATGGGGAAATGAAAATGGGGAATATTCTTTCTTGCATAGCACCACCATTAAGATAAAACAAAGAGAGCAGTTACTTATCTTTCCTTACCTTTTAGAGTTTCTGGAGATTGAAAAGCTGGTGTTCCTGATGTAGTAGTAAGAAAGGCATCTCCCCCTGTGAATTCATTACTCACACCAAAGTCTGCAATCTGAATCAAAAATACAAGAAATTAAACTGGATCAAATATTGAAAAACATTAAAAGAAAATAACATTTATAGAAAAAAGCATATAAATAAATAAATATTTAAACTAACCAGAAAATTATACTAGAATATCTTTGATAACATTCATTACAAAAGTTTCATAAGTTTACTTTACAGACATCTTTTAGTTTCAGTTTATATTCTTTCATAAATTTCTAATGGAAATGCTTATCTTAATTCATTAAATTTTATTAAATTCTGACACAGGAAAGTCATTTAGAACAGTACTATTATTAAAAATTGTAATTGCAATCACTGTCTGCTTAGCCAGTTGCTAATTCTAGTGAAGGTGAGCTTCTATAGCTTGTACATCATATTGTCTCATCAATCGCTACTTGCCAAACCAGAACAGTAGTTAAAAAAAAAAAAGTGTCATCCAGTTAGATTTGTATCTCACCAATCTTTAGTATTTAGTCTTTATATATCTATTTAGTACTAAGTCTCTCTCTCTCTCTCTCTCTATATATATATATATATATATATATATATATATATATATATATATATATATGGTTTAGTCAAAGTCAAGACTAAGATCCAATTTTATAATCCATTTACCAACAAAAGATTTATATAAGAACTATGAGAGATTAAAATCTGTAAAATAACCTGACAATTGAAATTTTGTTTCATCTTATTTTCTAGTGTTAGTTATATCCTAGTTAAAACATATATCTTCAGTTTTTGTTTACAGCAAAATGTTGTCCAACTAGTATGGACCTGGCCTATTATGGCTTCTGTTCATTAATGAGTTGAAAAACCTTAATAATGAAATGCCAATACCAATGATTAAAAATGTAAAAGTTATTATCCTTAAATATTCAAGAGTTATTGCTTTGCTTGCTTTATTTACAATGGTATCAGTATTAGAGGTGAGACAGAAAGAACAGACTTGGCCAAGTGAGGATTTGGGTGGGTAGAGACCAGAACAACAGAGGCCTTCTTTTCTGGGTAGGAAGAGGAGAGGTGACCAGTCTCTCCATGCTTCCAGCAAGTTGGTTTATGGCCAGTCACAGTGACTAGCATTTTTGGGCTCTCTACATCCAGACTGTTGGGGACGGAGGTGAAGGCTTTGCAATCTAACATAAACTTGAAGGTACATAACCCATTCAGGTTGTTGAAAGAAGCATGGAATATCTGTCCAAATTGAGCCAGA